GGGCCGGGACCCGGGAATCGCGTGAAGTGCCGCGCGACCTTTCGATGTTTGACCTGGCAGCTGCCAGGCTTGCATCTCGGAAGATGGGTGTTTCTCAAAGTTAGGGACTCCATCCAGGTGGTTGGTGTCCTTTGGTTTCCCTTTACATACCAAAGTGGGGTCCGCCATTTTGAGAAGCCCCCATATAATTCTTGCGCGTTGCCCGAGGTCGAATTCCACATGTAGGTTTGAATACGTTATATCAACATGCATATTCTAGAGGACGAGCCGCATGCTGGCCGCGGAGAAGCATTAGTCTCACATTCCGACGTGAACCTAGCATTCAAGTTGCTCCAGACCTTCAAAGGTCTTCCAGTGTTCGTCGGGGTTTCGGGGTTGCAAGTCTGTGTTTACCCCGATGGTTCGGAAAGGGAATGTGCACCAAGCCCGACCCGAAACGGTGGACAAGTAGAATTTAGGGGCAGTGTCCAGCAACTCCACCAACTCTGGGTGGTTCCCTGTTGAAATTCATGGTCAGCCCAGTGCTTCCAGGCGCAACAGCTGTCAGAATCTGTCGTGGCAGTTGTCCATTTGGCAGTGGAACTCTCCGTCCGTTTGTTTTTGTCTCTGTTTTCCGAGGGTTTCTGCCAGGCGCAGTTGGTGGATTGGCCGACGCACTCGCATGACTTGGACCTGGGGGAACCAACAAAGGAAGGTAGTTTGGGTTAGGGTCGCTGGTTGCCCTCTAAAGGCTTAGCCCTTAATGTTGACCTCAGACCAATAAGCCCCTGGTGGTTTTTGTTGCTCGGAAATTGTCCCCTTCTAATTGGGGCTTTAGACTACTTTTGGCCCAGTTTATATCAGCAAGGGGTTCGTATATTTCTGGGGTCAACGTCAATCAAACTGGTACAATGGTCCACCCAAATCCATGTAGAGAATTGAAGGGCGGATATCCACAGCCATGGGTCAAAAGCCCGTACCCCCAGTGAACATCCCAATCCCCACTAAAAAGGGTAACCTAAGATGGGTGGTGGATTCACCTACCCACCAAAATGGGATCCCATTGGTGTTTGACCCATCTGGAGTCTCCTTCTGACCTGGGGTCATTTTAGTCAGGTTTAAATGGTCAGAGGGAAACTCCAGGTCTGCTTTTTTTTGTTCCAGGGGTTGATTCCCCATTCTGTTCTCTAACCAAAAACCAGCTGGTTTCCCAGCCATTTATGGCAAGGGGCAAAAATCGCCCCTCGCCTTCGAAGTCTGCTTTCTGGGGAAGTCAGGTGCTGCGCCCGCTGCGCCCGGCTCCTCCAGGCCAGTTCCGTCGCCTTTTCATGGTTGTTGTTGGGAAACATTTTATTGTTTTTTACATTTTTGCTTATTGTGATTTAGTGGTTGAAATTCAATTCCACTTAACTGCTAAAATCTAAATTATTGCTCCCCTTCCAACGTCAACCAAGTTTTGGCCTTGGGTGGCTGATCTGTGTGTGCTGTCGGGTTCGGAACCCGGGACCATGGAGGCGATGTTCAAACCCAAGATCCCACTGAGACTTCTGGGGACGTTTTTTTTTGGGGAGATGGCGTGGCCTGGATTTTTCCTTGACATGTGCTGAAGTTTGCTCAACAGAATTCGGGTTGTTTTGGCCAAGCACCCGTTTGACGATATGATATTTTCAGCTGTCCTTCTTTCAAGGATGTCAGGGTGCCAGAAGCTTTCATGGAAACGCATGGGGGAGGGAAACATAGTTGCCCAGTGGTGCCCGTTTTTGCTTTTTTGTTGGGGAAGGGTCCCTTTTAAACTCAACCAAACAAAAAAGGATGCCTTCTTTTTCCCCTGGCTACTGGGCATCTGAGGAAACAAGTCCTGGGGGCTCTGTGGACAGACGCAACCTTTGAGGCCTATGGAAAGTGAAAGTACCTGTTCCAGCTTACCGCAGGTAAGACGAGCTCGCTCATGATGAAGGTTTCTTACTTGGGATGCCTTTTTTCCAATGCATATGGGCGTGTCTCCCACCGGGAAAAAATGGTTCTCCTTCTAGCTTCCTTTAAAACACTACCACCCCCCCCCAAAAAAAAAAAGAAAAGAAAAGAAAAACAAGAAACACACAACATATGTGTGAATGTTGTTTTCGCCCTCAGAAACCACTGCGATGGCCTTTTGGGGGTGTTTTTTTACGCATGCCAACTTCGGACGCTTCGAGGACCAGCGACTCCTTGGAATTGTTGTGTTAGGACTCCTCTGGGTTCACCCGGGGAGACCTTCCTGCATGTTTCTATTGATGCTGTGGATGGTTGAAATCGAAATCCGGAAATCGAAATCACCTAAGAGACCCTATGATCATTCCCCCAAATACCAGCAGATAAAGGTTGCAACCATGGTATCAAAGTGGCAGGATTTTGTCCATTCACAGTATCTCAACTTGTCACCCGGAAGGTCTTCTCCATGGTTCTATTGCTGAAAACCTAACTTGGAGCCCAGCCATCCGGTTCCTTAGCTTTTTGGCGAGTTTTAGTCAGTTTAGCGGTCGGGTGTCCATTTAGTCCACTAAAAGTCAAACTTTTAGCGGATTCGAGGGCAGCCCGGTTAAGGGGGACCAGAGATGAGTCGAGCGTTGGTGCAGAAGCGTGCGTTACGGAGCGCTTTATTGGGCTGGTGACTGGTGAAAAACGTCAAATGTATGATATGGGTATGGCTCAAAATTAAAGAGCTGGGGTTACGCGCTTTTAGTTTTTGGTTCCATTTACCAAGGAGCCATTTTGGTACCACTTTTTTGAGCCACAGCCATATATATTGCTGGCTCGTCGTTTTGTTTTGAGGCTCGGTACACTTTTTGGCTGGCTTCAAAGGGAAACGAGGACAGCGCCGCCATTTGTTGGGTCTTCAACCTTAGAAAGGTGAGCCACCAATATCAGGCCTTGGTCTGAATCCCAGGGTGAATTCACCGGTCAAGGGAAAGCAGCGGCAAACAAAGCCACCCTGTCCCGTCCGGTTCCATGTTTGCTTAAGGCGAGCTTGAATGAAAAGAGTAGTCTGAGGATGAGTAAGCTGCTCCACTTTGATACCATTCAGGCCACCTCACTCGAAGACGTTTTCTAATGGCAGGATCGGCACCGATCACCGCGCTTCTCTGCGCGAATTTCTGGTCAACGGGTTTGCGACATTGGAAGAAGAAAGCAAAGTGGAATGCAGATGTCTCTCTCCATATCGTGTCTGACACGTCCCTACAACGTTACAGCTCGGGATCTCTTCCAAACATTTTGCATTAGGATAGGCGACGTAACCAGAATCACGTTAACATGCGAACTATTTACAGTGTACCCCATGGGCCAAGCCAAGCCCTTTCGGCGCGTTCGCTTGCCCCGAACACGGAGCTGAGAGAAGCGGAGGGGCGTAGCGCTTCGAACTCCAGGAGCCCGGAGGCCCGCAACGCCCGAAATTCTCCGGAGGCCTGCCGCCCAGGTCTCCGGTGGAACCGAAGGGCTCCTGAAAAGAGAAAATCATGTTGCAACCACTTGACACCTGGCTTTTGAAAAACGCCAAAGAGGGGACACCACCAGTTACTCAATGTTCAGGTGTATAAAGTGTATAATGTAAGGATCCCTGCTAGACCATCCTTAGAGGTGTTTGACGTTGTTGCTGCTCCCCAGGTTAACATGGAACCGAAATTAGCCATCCTTTGTATATAGAGGAATCTCCTCTTTGGGGATCCCGAACACGGGTTTGCAGGTTATTATTTTTTTGCTGCTGGGTTAGGGTCATATTTTGGAGGTTGGGTTGCGAGAAAAAACTGGCAGAGCCGAGAAATATTTCAGTTTTGGGTGTGGCTCAAAATTACCCAGGAGGGGCAAACCGAAGGTTTTGGTCCATGTTTCCACTTACCAGGGCAACCCATGTTGGTACCACTTTTTTGAGCCACAGCCTTTTGGTTTCCGCTGGGGCCAAGGGAGGCTCCAAGAAGCGGCTGGGGAATTATTTTCGTGTCTCATCGGGTCTTAGTGGGAGACGGGAGCTCCCTGGAATTTCTTCCAACCAGAATTCGCGAAGCCCTTTTTCCTTTTTTGGATCTTTTTTGGGGTTCCCTTGGTTTTCCACGAACCAAGCAAACAATATATTGTTTTGCTGGGGTCCTAATTCCAGCCAAGGAATCTGGCCCAGGCCATCATTTCGATGAATGAGCAACCGAATGACATGGGCATGGCATTGGAAAAAACGGCACCCAATTATTGTTTCAACGGGGCCCGGCCATTTGAAGACGACTCGTTTTTCAGCAAAGGTCGGAAGATCTGTCAAGATGGGAGTGGCTGGCACCTCATGAGAGATGAACAAAACCACGGTTTGCCCGGTATCCCATCATCCCCACCACCTCAAACATGGAATTGGACCCCTGCAAATCTCCTTTATGGTTCCGAGTTTCCCTTTTGGTCCCCCCACCAGTCTTCCCCTTAAGGTAGGGCGCATATCCCATCCATTAGGGGCGTTTTGTGTAGCTTCGGGTTTCCCTTGTGAGTCTCGCGCTGAGCTCTCGACATGCGGTCGTGGCCATGGTGCATTTTTTCTTGGTCAACATGGTCAACATCGCGTGGAAAGTCCACGAAAGCCGTTTTTAAGACTACTATGATCATAGTGTCATATTTGAAATGTAAGGCTCACGGTTGTTGAATCCTTGGCCTCTTTTCGATTGAAGCCAAACAAGCTTAATTCAACTTGGTTCCTTGTTTTGGTTGAGCTAAAATCCCGCATGAATCCGGGTTGATCTGATGCGGGATCAACGAAACCCGCGTTCGCCGTCCCTTGGCTCAAATCCCTTTCAGCCTTGAGTCATTATTGGGCGGGATGAGCATGGGCACGTCTGGACAAAAGACAGGGTTAGGTGCCCGGTTGGACAGTCAACGTGGGACCCATAACAAAAGCAAACAGCCCACGCTCGAGATACGGCTGCGTCTCCAAAAATGAGGCACGAAGGGGGTATCTCCCACCAACAAAGTGCACAGAATCCCTTTCCAAAAGGACAGTCTCCAAGGGGTCTGCACACAAAAATTGAACCATAGAGGTCCCTTCCCGTGGCCGCCACCGCAACTCGCTGAGCGATGTCCCGATTGGTGGATTACGCCGTGAGGGACTGAAATCAGTGCGATCTGATTGGGCCATTGCCAGACTCAACTTACTGGTTTGGAACGTACGTGTGTCTGTTTTGAGGGCACCTGCCAAAATGGTTGCCTCTTGGTTCCTTTTGAAAACCAGAAGAAAGGGGAACCATCAAAGAAAGACACCCCCACATCATGTTCCCTTACCCTAAAACCCCACAACCCCACCCCATTTCGCCGCAAAAGCGCATAAAACCCCCAGACCCAAAATCCCCAAGCACGTGCTTTTGTTTGCCAAACACGGCAATTTGTTTGAAGATCAACAGTGTTTGTTGTTTTTCCTCGCATCGGTTTTGTTACCGAGCCCGGGGGCTCGGTGGTCCATACGGATTCGGAGTCATGGTGTGGGGAGCGAAATATTGCAGTTGAATATGGGGGTGCAGCTATTTGTCCATTTGCAACAATAACTAAAAAAAGTAAGTTGATAAACAATCAACCCATAGGTTGTTTTAACTTCAATCCAGCCATAGGTTGTTCAGCTGAAAGCTATTGGGTCTTTGCCCAGATAGGCGACAACAGGCAGTTTGGGGCAGCTTTCAGGGAGGGTCGGGGCTGTTGGGGATACCGCATGGGCTTATTTGATGGTGCCTGGAGTCTCCGTTTGATCCTTTGGCAACTTTTGGTCATGACCCTTTAGTTTGGATAATGACCCCCATTTTTTGAGTGACCAGGGGACTTTGAGGACCTTGCAGCTCTAAATCAGTATTGGACATTGGCTCGGGACAAGCCCTGCACTTTTGTTTCATGTGGTTCAAGTCAGGCTTTTCAAAATCTATCCTAGGGTGCCCTCCCGTCCACTAATATTGGACCTAGTGGACAGGAGGGAATTTGGGTGTGGGTCAAACCCCAGATACTCTTTTTTGGGGTAGCCCTCCCTTTTGTTTGGTCCATAGACACTCTTTGGGCTTGCAGGGAGGTTGGTCGATTAGGGGAGTGTTCCAAGGATTTCAGAACACTTTTGGAGGGGCCCCTCATACAGTAGGACCGCTCTACTTAGATGCGGGGTCAACATTAATCCAGAGACTTCCATTTCTCAAGAATATGTTTTATTTTCCCCTCTTGGTTTTGAAGGGAATCACTATTGCACATATTTCAGAGCGACCGCAAACAGGGGCGGTAAAAAAACAGCCCTGCACCGAAACACCGATGCTGACAAATACGTTCTCATTTTGCCAGTTTCTTTTCTTTTTTACCAGGTTTTACATGGTAATAATTCTGGTTACCGCATATAGTGCTAACTGCCCTAAGGCTCATGTCCCCTCCAATGAAGGCTCCGGGGCCCTCCAATGAAGCACCCTGAGTTCTCAGCAGCCCTGGAAAACAATCCATCAGGGTCCAAAAATCATCGGGAGCCTTAGGGTGGGCACCAAAAACCGCCAATGTCATGGGGTCTGGGGGGGAGGGAGAGGGGTTCTGGAGCCCAAATCAGCCCCAAATTCAGCCGCCTCTGACGGGGCCTTATTTGGGGCTCGGGGCTCCCCCTCCCTCCCCCCCAGCCTTGAGTGGGGCTCCCCTCCCCCTGCTCTCCCTCCCTCCCCCCCAGCTCCCCCTCCCCCTCCCCTCCTCCCTCCCCCTCAGCCCCCAGCCCCCAATGGGAGACAGCGGCTCAGTCCCGAGGTTTGGAAGGAGCACCTCGCCCGGCAGCAGCGCATGGACCACCACAGGCGGGCCTTTGCCGCGGCTCAGCCGCGGGTCACGGGTCGAGGGTCGGGGGGGTTGGGGCTTTGGGGGTGGAAGTTTCTTCAAGCTTCTTCCAGTTGCTGAAGAATCTGTTTTTAACTGTCCCTTGGTGGTTTTGAAGCTGAATCTATCACTACTGGTTCTATTTTTGCATGTATGTTTCTTCCGTTTGCTTACCTGGAGCCTCCATACTTGAAAAATGGGTCAATGACCACACTATGTTGGGTAATGACCCAATTTTTTAAGGGTCATGGAGACTCCCAGAGAAGAATATGTTCTTTACTTTCCTTTGGTGGGTTTAAAGGTGAATCTCTCCCTACCGGACATATTGTTACTTGTTTCCAGGCAGCTTAAGCAAATAGAAGGTTTTAAGGCTGTTTTCGTGAGGTGGGGTGCTTCCATTTGCTCAGGATTCTTTATTCCCCCCTGTTGGCTTTAAAGGGAATCCATGACTGTTGGAAATATGTTTACTCTTTTCTAGAGAACGTATTTTCAACTGGAGGGTTACAATCAAAGTCTGGGTACTTGAAGCTTAGGGGACGGTCTCAACCATAAACGGGAAACCAGAGATCCGCCCTCTTGTTGTTGTTTGTCTCTTATTTTGGTTGTCTTATGGGTTTTGGGCGAAATGTCCTGTTGAGTTCCTGCTCTCTTTCTTGTTGGTGTCTCTGTTCTTCAGTTTGTTTGTGTTGTTTTTTTTTTGGGGGGGGGGTTGGGGGGCGGGGAGAGGGGCAGGGGGAGGGGACGGTGCAGTGTTTGGGGTGTGGTAGGAGAATGTGTAAGCTTTGAAGTTGGAAGACCAACAGCCATCTCCCCCATGGCAAGCTGACGTATGTGAGCGGAAATGAGAAGTCACTATGATGCAGGTCCTTTAAATATCAAATTCTTGATTTCGGGGTGTCTTTTTAATGTCGACTGTCGGGGACACAAAATGGGCCCGGTGGGTGTTCCTTTCCGTTTTCCTTCAAAACCAACAAAAAGAAGGGTGCCCTCAAAAAAAACAAATGGCCATAGGTCAAAATCCCGTACACCCAGTGAACATCCCAATCCCCACTAAAATAGACAGAAAAAATGGTGGCACACCTACCCCAAAATGGTACCATTGGTTTTGACCCACAGCCAAATGTCAGGTATTGGAAACGTGGCAGCACTTGCAGACCAAGGATGGCAGTTGGTGTTTCAAAAAGAGCACCGGTGAAGCCAAGCTTTTCGACAGTTCAGGGGTCCGCAAATTGACTAGCTTTTAGGTGCTTTGTTGGAAAACCCATTCATTAGTTGGCAAAAAGTGAGAGTCCGAGCGTCCAAGCAAAATGCACCAAAGCTTTTTGTTGTGTGGCGGCCAACTTTTAGCAGGAGCAGAAAGCAACCAAGAAAACATGGAGCTGCTTGGGGAAGCGCCATTCCCAGAAATCCATTTTTGGGTGTTCAACCAACTTGCTAAGTAGGTCTGCAAGTTCTGCCACGTTTCTACTGGACATTTGGTTCTTTTGAGGGTACCCGTTTTTTTTTTGTTGGTTTTGAAGGATAACCGAAAGGAAACCCGCCGGGCCGATTTTGTGGGTCCGACATTAAAAAGACACCATGGTTTTTTGCGTGGGGGAACTGGGGGAACTGTCCCAGGGCGGGTTTTGAATGGACCGCAGCAAGGGGCGTTGTTTTTTTTTTGCATGGTATTGAGCAGCTTCTTTTTGGGTGGCTTGTTTTAGAGGCGAGCTATTTTCTGACATGCTCAATCGGGCTTTCGCACAGGGGTCGAAGGATTGGTTTGCTTGTGATTTCCCTTTCAACCAAAAGGGAATCGAATAGCCAAACGATTAGTCCTTTTCGGTTTCCCTTGGTTTCCCTTCAAGTACCAGCCAAAGGGGATCGATCAACCAAACGGGTTTTCTTTTTCGGTTTGCTTTTAGTTTCTTTTTGCGTCCGGCGAGGTTGAAAGAGGTGACGACCACTGAGAAGGACGGCGCTCAAATGAATCAAGAGCCGCTTTTTAGGGCCGAACGACCCCGTTCTCACTCCTGGGGTACGTTTTTTGTTTGGAGGGTGCCCCGTGTTTGGGTTGGTTTGAAGAGAAACCAAAGGGAAACCACTTGTTTTGGGGGTTCCCTAAAAACAGCAAACCCATATGAAGCTGAAGCTGAATCACTGAATACTGGGGTGCGTTTGTTTTTGTTTTCTTTTGGTATGCTGGCTGTTTGTTTTGAAGGGAAACCAAAATTAAACTGCTCATTTTGGGGGTTTCCCTTTTAGACACACCTTTTGTTTAGGTGTATCCCACAGTTGGGCCACGACTGCGTGAGTTCCCTGCTGACAGTCCTTTATTGGTGTCTCAAAATTCGGGTCCCCCCAAAATGGTGATGTTCTTTGCGGTTCGCTTTAAACAAAGGGTAAAGAGGGTACCCTCACAAAAAAGACACACCATATTTCCCCTTTACAGCTTCCGCAATCTTCGGGGCATTAGTTAGATGCGTTTTCTCGGGTGTGGTAGGAGAGGATATTCGGAGCCCTGCATAAGTTCTTGAAGTATGGGGGTCCTTTTCTGGTTAGTTTGGCTAGACATAGATGGCACTGGTTTAGATTGGTCTTCTTCCATTTTGCAGGGAAGCCCATCGATTTTTCGCCCATAGGTCGTTTATGGGATTTCGCCCATAGGTCGTTTATGGGAAGGGCATTCTGGTAGCTCGGACTTGAGGCTGCCATGAAGACTTCAGTGGGGGATCGATTCATAGATCACCTTGGCATCACGCCGATGTCGGGTGAGTTTCAAATTCACGGCTCGTGGCTCGGAAGGGTGTTTAGTGGATGATGGGGGGTTGTTGGGATCAGAATTTGGGCATTGGCCCCTTAAACTCGACTGAAGTGGACAATCAACACACTGTTTGTACAAGTTACGAGCTCTGGGAAGACAAGGTCGCTCTTCCAAAAGAAGCCCAACGACCTGGTGGTAGCACTTACTTTTTGACGCCTGCAGCCGCCGAAGCTCTCTAGCCCTTCCTCACGGCCGGTGGGCTTCTCTGCAGGCTACCGAGTGGTGGGTGCATGCAGACTTAAGGTGGTACATCCACGGCATGGGCGCCATCCCAGACTTGCTCGAGGCGAGCCGGCTGACGCGTGCCTTGACATCCTTGTGGGCATGTTTACAGTGCCCGTGTACCCCCGCACTGCAGCATGCTTCGCATCCGTACCTTGCAAGTCCTGTCCGGACACTGTGCATTAGTGGCTTTGCCTTAGCTTGGAGCTCCGCATTTGCAAAATGATCACTTTTGATTCAGCTTCCCCGTTGAAGTCTGAGGTCTTGCCCTTTTGGTTTCCCTGATGTTCCTTTTTAGAACAAGATGTGAATCTTTTAGGGTGTTGGCATCGATCTGTGGCGTCAGTAGCGCTTCCGGACTCGGGGTGGCCCTCAAGTTCGCCGTTTTGACCCATTCCATCAACTGAAGCCGCGAATCGGCGCGTGTTTTGGGGGTCAAATGGGTGTATCGCGTTTTGGGGGGGGGGAAGCTCATGTGCGTTTTTTTGAAAGGGAAACGACAAGGAAATCAAGCATTTCGAGGGTCCGCTCATTTTGAGACTAACCCAAGCTTTCGCCAAGTTCAAGAGGTCAAGTTGGGGTAGGTTTGGTTGAACATTTGGTGGAGCATGGTAGGCAGGTGTCTTTTTCACTTCTGGAGGGTTTCCCTTGGTTTCCTACCGTGGTATTTTTGTGCTTTCTTTTTGAATCCCCTATGATCATGAGATGATTGGTTCAATTCTCGAGGAGTTCATAGGGTTGATTCCATGCCCAGTGGTGCGCAAGTTGGTCCATGATTCAGAGCTCTTATCGTAATTGGATCCACTCATGGCTTTACGGGTTGTGTTATTACCCTCTTGGATGTATACACCCACCTTCCACTAATGCTTAATATCTTTTTTTTTCTCAAAACAAAGCCTCTCTTGGTTTTAAAGGAAATCTATCACAGTGGAAATATTTTCATTTTTCCCAAGGGGCGAATCAGCAAAGGGCCATGGAGTTTCCACGCAATCCTTGCCTCAGAGTTGCCCATGGCGACCTGGGAACTCCAGGATAAGCCCTTCTCAGGGAACGCTCCCTACTTCACGCGTGGCTGGGCACATAACTTCTACAACGACTCGTCCAAGGCGTTGGAGGGCGGGGTGGAAGAGAGACTGGCTCGTTCTTGGTATGTTTTTGAGGGAAGCCTTCAAAAATTCAGCTTCCCTCGGGGGGGCATCTCCCAAATTACCAATCCAAGCCATCAGGGAGTTGACCCAAAGTGAGAATTGTCAAAGGATGATCGTGTGGATTGAACCGGTGGGAATCCATTTAATGGGGGCTGGCTGCTTCAGTGATCGGTTTCCAGAAAGCCATGGTTTGTATTCGCCACTAGACTTTTAGATCTATACTGAGGTTTCATGTGGGTACGCGTCAAAATAGGCGCAACAAATAGTGGTTGCCCTTTCGGGTTCTCTTTGAACCAAGCCAAATGGGGCACCCTCAAACAACCCACCATAGATGGCATCATGCATTCTGCCTTCGAGATACTTCTGGCAAGTTTACATTTTGATGTGTTTTCAGGTAAAACAGGCAGTCAATTGGGCCTGCTGTCAAGCCGCGCAAGTGTGGGCATGCCCCCGCGGTGCCAAGAAGTCTGAAGTTTAACCAAGGACTTGAGCCAAGGGGCACTTGAGCAAAGAGGACTGCATGGGACATCAGGTCAAAAAGTGAGAAGGTCAGACTCAAGCAGCCTGCAAGCAGCTTCACTTTTGCGTGAAAGCCAGATTGTTGGCTGGCTGTCGCCTCTCTTCTCAGGTACTTGTTTGGACTGTCTGGAGAAAGTAAGAGCACTGCCAAAAGTGGAGCATGTTTGGCACGGCGCAGCCTGGTTGCCAATGTGCAACCATTTACCAGCCAGCCAGCCAACCAAACAAGCAAACAAACCGCCACCCACCCACCACCCACCTACCCACCTACCCACCCATCCGCCCACCCACCCACCCACCCACCCACCCCACCCACCCCACCCCACCCCACCCCACCCCACCCCACCCCACCCCACCCCACCCCACCCCACCCCACCCCACCCCACCCCACCCCACCCCACCCCACCCCACCCCACCCCACCCCACCCCACCCCACCCCACCCCACCCCACCCCACCCCACCCCACCCCACCCCACCCCACCCCACCCCACCCCACCCCACCCCACCCCACCCCACCCCACCCCACCCCACCCCACCCCACCCCACCCCACCCCACCCCACCCCACCCCACCCCACCCCACCCCACCCCACCCCACCCCACCCCACCCCACCCCACCCCACCCCACCCCACCCCACCCCACCCCACCCCACCCCACCCCACCCCACCCCACCCCACCCCACCCCACCCCACCCCACCCCACCCCACCCCACCCCACCCCACCCCACCCCACCCCACCCCACCCCACCCCACCCCACCCCACCCCACCCCACCCACCCACCCCACCCCACCCCACCCCAAACCCAACCCACCCACCCACCCACCCACCCACCCACCCACCCACTCACCACTCACTTGTTGCTTTTGGCCTGACCAACTTGCAACTCGGCCCTGCGTGAACTGCAAGGAACCAGGCTCCAGATCGTCTTTACAGACCAAAACTCCCGCCGAAGCTTCGGTGCTTGTACCAAACACTTCGGGAATTGGTGGTTGGGGAGTCGGGGGTCTCAACACCCGGTTGTTTGAAGCCACTAAATCAATTTGAAGCCCCTAAATCAATCGAATTTTGGAGGCTGTCGGCTGGAGACCTCCGCAGATTTTTGTTTCACCGGCGCGGCAGGTGCGGATGCTGCTGAGGCCCGAGGCCTCCGCACCAGGCGATTCGGGCGATTCGGTTGGGGGGGGTCCAGCAGCAGAAGGTCTGGGTCTGGTGCTGGTCCCGTGCTTTTCTTTTTTTTGGCCGGTTCTGTGGAAGCACCAGGGTGGGTGTCCTGTTTTTTTTTGGGGGGGGAGTTTCAGGTAATTGAGCTTGGCGGCGGACACCCTTGCCTTTGGCAATTCTCTGGTGGCATTTTGCGTCCTTTCTGGCGGGAATGAAAACTGATGGGTTCCGCGGGTTTCAGTTGGTTCAAATCATGTACTGTCCAGTGCATGATTTAAACCAACTGAAACCCGTGGTTTTGAACCCATCACTGGTTTCCTACAATCGGACCACCGATGGTTCTGCGCCTTTGTGCAAATTTTGGCATGCAGTTCGGTTTGGAGAATTTGCCATGCATTGCTTACGCCGGGCTTGATTTCCCCGGGCTTCGGCTCGGATTCCATGCGAGCTCGCGAGGGACCTCCATCGCGGAGAAGGCGGACGCCTTCCGACCCCGTGAGGCGCGTGTTCGGCGCGCCCTGCGAAGGGCGCTTTGTCCGGTCCCTGGGTGTGTCTGGTTTTAGGATTGGGAAAGGGAAGCCACCATTTGGGGGGTCCAACACAGGCAGACCCATTTCCCTTTGACCTTGCGCAACTTGATTCGCTCTCTGTCACCCTGTTTCATTCCTTGGGTGTCAAACACCACCCCCTACACCGAATACCCGCTCTTTTTAAGGGCATCAGGTCAACCCTCTCCTAAAAATGGAAGTGTAAATTTTCCCTGGAAAACCCAATCTTTTTAAGAGGCCCAACAGAAAAGGTGGGTGAAGCACCCTGGAAAATCATTCTTTTCAAGAGGCCCAACAGAAAAGGTGGGTGCTTGGAGTAACCGGGGGTGTCCTTTTTTTTGAGGACCGCCTCGGGATTTCTCAAGGAACACCCAGAGGGAAGAACCGCAATTTTTCGAGTTCCCCGGTGTGGGTCTAGAGGCTTTGGGCCCAAATGGTTCCGACAATATATTTGTTTAGTCCTTGGTCGGGGTTCCATGCTTCGGAAGCAACAAGCGCAAGTTAGCACGAATTGGAGTTTTTGTTTTTTGTTTGCGTGGTTTCTTTATGTGTGTTTTTTGGGGGTTGCATAAAAGGGAAACCAAAGCGAAACCAATCAGCTTGGGGGACCCTCCTATTTTGAGACAACCCCTGTTTGTGTTGTTCTTTTTTCGCGGAGGGTCCATTGTTTGATCACCCCGAGGTCTGGTGCTAGTTGGGAAAACCAGGGGCTTGTTTTGGTGGATGCTTCTTTCATGAGGGCATTGAGGCCCGGCCCAAACAGGTACCCTTTATAGACCAGGCTGCGTTTTGTTGTTCGCGCTCCCTGAACAGAGGACCATTTCTCCTCGAAGACTATTTATATGTTCGGCCACGTAGACTGAATGAAGCATAGTCAGGGCATACTATTTTCGGTGTACCCCCAGATGTGAGCCAAGAGTTTGTTGGACGGGTAGTGGTATTGGAGGCCAGAAAGGTACGTACCAGAAGTGGCGCTGAATCATTTGGGCTTTGGGCCATGTGGCTAGACCCTGGGTTCCTCGACTTCAGAATTCCAGGAGGGAGGTTCCTGGGATTTGTTTGTGGGGCTAGAGGGAAACCAAAAGGACATGGGTATACATCTTTTTTAGCTTGGCTCCCCAAGAATCGTGGTTTTCCTTTGCTTTCCTGCAAACCTACCAACAAAGGGGCACCCTGAAAAGATCAACACCCAAATCACTCATTTGGGGGGTCCCAGCAAATCACGACACCTCCAAACGGTGATGGTAGTTCCATGCTAAGGCAACTTGTCAAGGCACTTCTTGGTTTTTTGCCAGCCTGGGGTTGGGATGGTCAACCCCGCGCAGACAACTTCATGGGTCTGTCTTTTTCAATGTTGGACCCCCTAAAATGGTGATTGGTCCTTTGAGTTTCCTTCCATTTGGTTACGATTTTTTGTCCTGTTGGTTTTAAAGGGAATCTATTACTACTGGACATTTATTATTATTATTATTATTTTCTGAGCAAATGGAGGTTTCCTTTTAAACAAAGCCAGCCCAAAAAGGGTGCCGAGCCTCAAAGAAAGACAGACCCATACTTCGTTTAAGGTTGACGGACTATGTTCAACAGAACCCGAGCATCGCATTTTTTGGGTTAAATGTACCGCGGAGTTGTGCCGAGCTGACTGGGTTTGGTAGGCAAAAGGTCCACCGGCGGTGCCTCAGGATCCTCCTCTTCAAAAATAGGCCAAAGCCCTGCAAACACGGGTTCTGAAGAGAAGAATGGGTGAAGAGAGTCAACCCTGACAGTAGATGGGGGGAGTACCGCCTTCTAGAAAGCTCCTGAAACCCAGGTTGAAAACGGATCCGGCTTTTGGAAAGAACGATGGTTGAAAAGAATGGGGAATCAACCCCTAAATGATTAGAGTTAGGCCCAGTTTGAGAATAGATATATGTTATTGCTCGCTTCACTTTAAGTCACCTTAGTAACATGTAAAAATTGTATCCCAAGTCCACCCCAGATTTTGGTCGAATGACCCTCTTCGGACCCCTGGCCATGGGTGCATCTCTCAGGGCAGCCTTTCCGCGCGGCACGAGGCCGATGGGCTGTTGATGTTCACTTGGGCTATGTGGGAAGGCGAAGCCCCAAGATGGATGTTTTCCTCTGTTGCATGTTGCTTGGATGTTAGGACTTGAACTTTTTTGCCAACTAATGGGTTTTCCAATGAACCACTAAAAGTTATTCACTTTTAGCAGGGGAGCAGAGTTTGCAACCGAGTTTCTTTTGGTTTACCTTGGAACCAGAAAAGCAAGGGGCTTCCCGAAGAAAGACACATCCGCATGGGTGTGTCGTCTTTTGAGGGTATCCTTTTGAGATCGCTTAAAATTGACGCCACCGGAAGAAAAGGGGGGTCCACCTATTTTGACACTTACCCATTTCTGCCATTCTGTGTTTGTTTCAGTTTCCCAGGGGGTAGTGGACTAGGACAAGGCCTTTGAATCTGTTGCTTGTCATCGTTAATGGACTCGTAGCAAGTGCCCAGGAGCCATCTGCGTTGCCGCAGCCTCTGCAATTGGGGGTGTTTCAGTATCTCGAGTCAAACTCTGGAATTGCTGTTTCAGCATCCCCAAAGCCCATCTATGGCGAAAGCCACATCCATAAGGGTCCCGGTCTCATTTTAATACGTTTTCTGTGGCTTCCCTTGGCGGGTAGCGGGGCCTCATGATGTCCATGTGGCTGTGGGTCAAAACCAATGGTACCATTTTGGGGTAGGTGCACCACCCATGTTAGAACCCATTTTAGTGGGGATTGGGATGTTCACTGGGGGTACGGGCTTTTGACGGCCATGTGTTTGGCCATATGGGTTTCACATCGACAGTCGAGCAAAAACGTCCTCACAAAGTATACGATTCCGAGAGAAACTGGTCGGAACTCGCCGATTGGATTTCCAACCTCACCGATGCCTTTGAATCTACGTGTCTGTGGTTAGCCACTTGGAGTACAACCCTATCACAAGGTTCATCCCACTCAGGGGAACTTTTGAGTGGATTCTAGCCTAGGAAACCAACAACTTACTTGGCCGGACACCCAAGTAAGGAACCTAAACAGCCCGCATTTACCCACATATCCCTCCGAAATGGCGGGTTTTCCTTGAAGTGTTCCCCTCAAAACCCGAAAATCATGGGCTTCCCTCAAAAAAAGAAGTGGTCATCATAGGATTGCTCCCCGCGAAGGAGCAAAAGGTGGATGACTTTGTGTAGGTCGTATATAATGGAGAAACCATTTGTTTCCAAAAGGTCTAAGTGGCCATCCGGTCGCGCCAAAGACCAGCCATGAAAATCCAGCCCTACCTCACTTGTGCCAACAAATGCAGGCGATCCAAAAAAGTATTTGCTCAGATTCTGGCTCATATTTTCTCTACCCTAAATACCAGAAAACAAAGGACTGATTTGGAGGAGACAGTAACACATCCTCCTTGAGGTTTTCCATTCGATCGATGGATCTTTCCACAGCGGGGATCAGGTTTTGTCCCGCTGGGACCCCTTTGGGAAGCCTTACCGGGGGGTGGGTCCCTCGATGTGGGTCCTTACGGGGATTTTCGGGTTTTAAAAGGAAACTAAAAAGAAAGCCCGAAAAACATCAGAGGGTCGAACCCCAAAAACAGACGACCTACCCCATGAGAGCTTGACCCATGAACACTTGGCAGGAGCCATCCCGGCGTGGGCGCTGAGAATCCGAAACTTCGCGCTTGCGGCCGTGTGGGTGGCCGTGTTGTTAGACATCCTGGTGATGGCTCCAAACTTGTGGTGGTGACTTCCGATTTCCCCTCCTTTTTCTGGGTCGTTTGAGAGGGTTCAGGATGTTTTTTGTCCCAACAAAAGAAACAACAACGGCCAGATGTGAGACCTGGCGATGGGTGGAATGTGTGGTCCACACAAAGGTTGGTCGTTCCGAATCTAAGCCATGCGCTTGCGGCTTCCAGGTAGGTGTGGGGCTTGGTCACCGGTAGGATGCTCGCCTGGGCAGCTGGGAACGGATTTCTCTAAAGGGGACGACCTTTGGCCTTGCCCTTTGGAACATTGCACGCTCTCCCAGCAAAAGGTGTTGCAGCTTTGCAGGGGGACGGGATGAGACCTCAATGGGAGAAGCCACCTATCAACTTGGAGGATAAACAGTTGCGACAAACACAAAAAGGGGCTCAGGCAAGTTGGAACCAGCGCGTCAGCAAGCTTCGCACAACTCCCTTTATGCGTTGTGTGGTGCTTGAGTGCCTGGCCTGCTCTTAGCAAATCGAGCATGAGATCTCAACATGTGTTGATTCCATACCAGGGGCTTGGGTATGACATGTTCATCTGTTTTGAGGCTCCTGGTTTTTGGACAGGATTGGACGTCAGGGATGTTCTTTCTACTCTCCAGGGTGTCAGATTGCAACCAAAGAAACCAAGGGGGGCAGCCGCAGCTCAAGCCGTGATCGCGTGAGACAGGCTACAGGTCTCCCTTTGGTCGCCATGCCCTCAGGCAAGGTAAAGGCCCCAAGGCCAGTCGACGAGTTCGCCAAGTCCTATGAAGAGGGGATGAAAAACTACTACATGCATAGGTACAATGAGTACAAGCGACTGGGCTATAGCGACCAGGAGAGGGCCAGACAAAATCTCTGGGTGCAGTTTGGAAAAATTGTACAAAGACTTGTGTACTGACACTATATGACCATACTGCCTTTGCAACTTTCCCCCCTCCAAGCTGTTGTTTTGAAAACCTAAATTACACCGAGCATTATTGATTGGTGGTACAGATTGTGGCACATATTTGTTCATCAAAGCGAAGCAAGGAGGCAAGCGACAAGGCCTACATCGATCTCGTACAATTGGCGAACACCACCGAGCTTTAGGGCGGTGCTGCGTCTTTTCTGGTTTGGCGCAGATCCATGTCCATCAGCAGTCGCAGCGTGTTTAGTCGCCATATCACTGTACAGACTTAAGATAGGGCGACTGTGTACATTTCCGGAGCGTCTGGGAAATGCCTGCTTTGACCTCCTTCTTGGATTGGCACCAGGCCGCAAATGTCCACCCCCCCTTTGCCGGGGGGGAAGTTCTTTTGCAGCATTAACTTTTTGGTGCTCAAATCCACTATAGCACAGGGTCGTGATGTGTGAGAAGCCGTCCTATTCCGGAACAGGAAGGTTGCACGCGCGACATGAGCAACACATGAGGCTTTGTCATTGCAGCGAAGGACAAACAAGCCGGCCACGCTGCAATTGAACTTGCTGGTTTCAAACATTTTGGAGTTTGCTTGGTGCTTCGGAGCGATTCTCTTCATTTTCAGAAAGTCGGGGTGGCTGGGGGGGAATATTTGGGCCTCCCTCTGCCCACCCCCCCCCCAGATAAAGTGGATGTCTGATGTCAAGACCTCCCTGAGCTCGCCGTGTCAGCGCTGGCTGTGCCCGCCTGACCCCTCCCCACCCCCCCCCCCCCCAACAGGCAGCTTCTCCAAACAGCTTCCTCAGAACCAGCCAGGCTGCGAAACCAGCAAAAACACAAGAGCTCTCTGCGTGTTTCTGTGCGGGCGCCTGCCTTTGTCTCTCTGTCTCCCTGTCTCCCTGTCTCTCTGTCTCTCTGTCTCTCTGTCTCTCTGTCTCTCTGTCTCTCTGTCTCTCTGTCTCTCTGTCTCTCTGTCTCTCTGTCTCTCTGTTTCTCTATCGCTCTCTCTCGCTCTCTGTCTGCCTGTCTGCCTGCCTGCCTGCCTGCCTGTCTGTCGTGTCTGTTTGGGCGTCTCCGTGCCCGTGTCTCGGTGTCTGAAATGTTTGATCAGTACAGGTGGTGCTTGGAGCGGGCCTTTTGGATCGTTGTCGGCTCAAAGCCCGTTGAGTTCTTAATTCTAGGTGGGTCATGCAAAGGTTGGAAATTGCGGATGTTCCATCCATTCTCCAGGGCCAACTGCAGCCAACTGCAGCTCAAGCCGTGATCGCGTGAAGACAGGTAGGTCGCCGTCGGTCGCCATGCCACATTCAGGCAGGCACAAGGTACAGGCCCCAACGCCGATGGACGAGTTTGCCAAATTCTTTGAAGAGGGAATGGAGACCTACTACGATGCTAGGTACAAGGAGTACAAGCGACAGGGATATAGCGACGAGGACAGGGACAAACAACAACTTGGTTCATTTGGGAATGTTTGAAGCAGCCTCCATGCTTCAAATGCAAGCATTTTCACCCGCTTCAAGCGGTTGTTTCGGAAACCTGAACTACACCAACATTTGTTAGGGCAGCTTTTGTTGGCATATCCCATTTGTCACAGAGAACCATCAAAAGCGAAGCGAGGAGGCAAGCGACCAGGCCTACATCGACCTCATCGAGTTTGCGACCATGGATGTGCCCAAGTGCTGCTGAGATCTTGGCCCCAATTCAGTTGGCCGGGCGATGTCTTCCCCACCCAGCTTTAGGGCTGTGGTGTGTGTGTGATCCATGTCCATCCACTGTGACCGTGTGATCAGTTACCACATCACCGCTGCTTGGTAAATGTACAGTTGTCGGGGGCAGCATCTTAATGGACGGCGACTTTGAACATTTCCAGAGCGGCTGGAGAGTGAAGGGCATTTGTCCAGTTCACAAATGGTAGCTTTGACCTCCTGTTGGGTTGGCATCCAGCCGCAAATGTACGCTCAAGGTCGGGAGCTCGCCCCCTTTGGTCCAGGGGGAAGCTTTTGCAGCGTAATATTTTTGGTGCTCATTTCTATATAGTATAGCACAGAGTCGCGATGTGTGGCAAGCCTTCCTATTCCGGAACAGGAAGGTTGCACGCGCGACATGAGCAGCACATCAGGTGTGTCCTTGCAGCGAAGGACAAACAAGCCGGCCGCGCCGCAATTGAATGTGGGAGATGGTCTAGTTTACTACATATATATATATATATATCAATCTGCTTGGTAGCTTCGAACATGTATGACATATGCTGGTGCCTCAGAGCGATTCTCATCTCGGATTTCGCAAAAACTCATTGGGCAACCCACCAATCGACATGGAACCGTTCGACGTTCGGGGTCCTGGTTTGGACCATCTTCCTAAGGCTCAATTTCCCCGAGCCTCGGGTTCCATGCTGGTGCTCAGGGAATGACTCCCAGAGTTTTTGGGAATCAGAGCAGAGGGGAATCAATTTTCGCGTTTTTTTGGGAATCAATTTTGCTTACATCGGGGTCATGCCATTTCGCGTTCATTCCCTGCCTAGTCATTACCAGCAAGATTCGGTTTCAGCGATACTGTGGATGGACGAAATCCATTTCGCGCCATCTAAGAAAGCCTATGATAGATTTCCCAGGTGCCAAACAAATGGCTCTCACTTCCTGAGTTCATGAACTTTAGACTTTTTGGGAAGACCATTCTAGTGCAAATCGTATTTGGACTTTTCTTGGGCAATCCACTCAGCCGGTGAGGGTTTCAACCATGGGTTTCTTAGGTGCGAACTGGATTTCGCGTCCATCATGTCAGTCCCCGAGGTTGAAGCTGCCTGCAGTGCGCGGCACTTCGACGCCGCAGGCGGGTTTTCGCGCGGGGTTCCCAACGAAAAGTTGTTGGATCACGAGGGCGGAGAACCGCCCCGCCAAGCCTCAAAAAACCAAGCCTCATGTCCCGCTTGACAAGGTTCTCCAACATTATATTTAGGTAGGGCTTGACGAAATATGTGTTACATATTCTGAATATATTTTTTCGGTGTACCCTTGGATTGGGCCAAATCTGACTATATGATGTTGGTCCCTCGGGTTGTGCCGAGTATTTCGACACATCGCTCCAGTCCGCGCGGATTCAGAACAGTTCAACTTTGGGAAGCATCAACCAAAGATCAGAGACATCCCCTGGGAACCTGACACTCTAGGCCCAGCGATCGGTGCCGTTTCTTGTACCGTTTCTTTTTTGGGGCGAGATGGCCTACTAAAGTAGACTACAGCAAAAAGGGTACCATGTTCCAACCTCTCTACTGGAGGACCTGGCCCTGAATGGGGGTGGTTTGGACCATTTTCCTCGACCATTTCCTTGCGTCAATGTCGACCAGGAAGCCCAGGGGCTGCAGAGAAAACGGGTGCCTCGCCACCAATCCAAAGCACCAACGCGAGGGTAACCTTCGGTTTCCAGCCCCACGGCTCCTTAGACTTTTGGTTATTTTTGTTGAGTTTAGAGGTGGATGTATGACATATCCCACTAACACTGGCCTGCACTGACTTCACCCAGGTGGTGTTGTATGGGTTGCACCCTGCACGGCCAACTGAACAAATCCCACTAAGAGTTGATCAGCTTTAGGGCTCAAAGAAAGCAAGGACTCTTTGGTGCATGTTGCTTGGATGTCGGGATTTCAGCTTGTGGCCAACTAATGAGTTTTCCGTACTAAACCACTAAAAGTTATTCACTTTTAGCAGGGGAGCAGAGTTTGCCACCGGGGACTTGCTTTGCTTCCGAGTGGCCCAGTGGTTTGAATCACCCGCGTGTCTCTCTTTTCGAGTTGGTTTAAAAGGGAAACCCATTTCGTGGGTGCCATATACCTTGTGCCTGGTGTTGAGACACACCCAAATTGGTTTGGTGATCGGAAGGATACGAAGGCTCCTGGCATCTGATCGCTCCCCAATTCTTGCATTCAAGTTTCGGCCCAGGTGTTGTTTCGACCCAGTGGTTATAAAGTTGTCCAGTTGGTGCTACCACCCGTTGGTTTTCGGTGTTTGTTTTTGGTTGTGTTGTTTTGGGGTGGGTGGGGCCAGTGTGGCGCACCAAACCGGGGCCACCGGACGCTCTTCCCAGGCCACCCCGCGCCGAGGCCGGCGGCCGGGCCGCGTGGAGAGCGGAAAAAGATGGTTGGCAGGTGCCCAGCTCGAAGACTTGTAACTTGCGAAGATCAGTTTTAAGGGTCCGACGTGTTTTCTTTTTTTTCTTTGCGAGGCTTGGTTTAAAGGGAAATTAACAGGAAACTACCATTCAGGGGGGTCCCACCTACCCATGTTAGCGTCCAAAAGGGCCTTGGACTTGGTAAGGCGAATGCCAGGTGAGAGAAGCTGTTTTGTGACGTGACCGAACTTTTATTTTCACCATCCGCTACTTTTCTGCAGATTCATGGAACTTAACCGAGCTTATGGCAAATGGAAACCCAAAGGAAAAGATTGCGCCATTTCGGGGGGTGCAAAACCTAAAAAGGACGAGCCACCCACAGAAGCTTCCAGCTTTCCTCAGGTTGAGCCCGCTTTCGGGGGCTGAAGTAGCTCGGCAAATCGAAAGCATGCGGGTTTTGGTTGGAGCGTGCGGCTCGGCTTGGAAGGGGGAAGTTGAAGCGAAGCCAGCAACCCCTAAGCCCACCACAATCCAACCTTATACCCGAAACCAACCCTAAACCAGCTTAAACCAACACAAAGCAAGCGCAAACCCACCAGTCCAGTGCGTGTCTTCGACCATGAGGTGTTCGAAAATTGGTCCCCCTTCCCCTCTGACCCATTTGGATTTGATTTGGCATCTCATTATGGACCCTTTGGACATCACACATTTGTTGGCCATCCTCGAGCTGGAGTCTCCTTCTGACCCTTTACCAGTGGGCCAATGACCCCATGATTTCGGGCAACGCCCCCATTTTTTAAGGTTCAGAAGGAGACTCATGTCTGAAGCTGTTTTTTTTAGCTTATGCGAAGCCTTACTGAGATCGGATCGGATCGTCAGATCTTGGCCGGGAGTACTACTGCCCACCGCCTTAGGCGAGTTCGATCTCGAGAGCCGCGAGAGCCGGAGCCGTGCTTTGGGTTCGAGCCACGTCTGCCACGTCTGTAAATTGTAACGATCATATGAGCCACAATCAGAACCATGCTAGGAGAGGTAGCATGGGACAGTCCCAATCCGAAGCATGTCCGCCCTTTTGATTCTTTGCATCTTTTTGGGGTAGACCACTTCAGTACCAGGGGTTGTTTCCTGCGCTACTCTAGAAATCGATTCCCCATTCTTTCCACCATTGTTCTTTTCAAAAACCAACGATTTTCCCTGGGTTTCCGGAGGTTTTCTAGAAAGAAGGATCGCTGGAAAGAATGGGGAAGGTACCCCTAGAGGTACCTCTTACTCGTCGAGTTGGCAAGCTTGCAGCTTGCAACTTTTCGTCACCAGGTAAACCGCAGTAGAGGGTGGTCAGGGTCAGTCCCAGGAAAAATCGGTGCGGAGATCCACATTTTTAGTTCTTAATATTGGGTAGACAATCAAAGGCAGAAGAAAGGGGTCCTTTGGGGTCCAGGAATGTTAATACCAGTTTTGGATGAATCCAGGGAGGTTCCCCGACTTTTTGTTGCGCACATTATGTTCGTTCCGTTGATCAGCTAAAATCATGACGCCACGGATTTATGCTTAGGAACGTCTACAAATTCGATGCAGCACTTTCTGGTGTTTTGGAACCGATAGACCCCATAGTGTTCCTTGTTAGGTATCGGATGGTCGACTCCTGCAAAGGTAACGTGTGTGGCCCAGCTTCATTTCTTCGCCAACCCGCACAATCCCAAGCAGGATTCACACACCTGATCATGACATCCCTTTTGGAGTGCGAACTGTACCGTACGCATCAGGGCCACGAAAAGCCCCAGTCCTTTTCCCAGAATTTCATCAGAGCCCTTAAGCAGCATTCTTTTCTTGGGGCTTTGGTGTCCTCCGTTTTGAAGCTTCTCCTGGTCCGGTCTGTGAAGTGGGGCTACACTTTCAGGGCCACATCCGGAGAGCCTTTGAAACGCAAGGAGGTTCGGTCAAAATAGTTATCTCGTTTGTGGCCCATTTGGGAGGGGCATTTGGACGCACCAGGGGACACACGAGGTTTGCATTTACGAGAAGCACGTCATTTTGAACGTTGCTCAGATGATTTCCCGGTGTCGGAATGCACTTGACATGAACCGGAGTAATGTTATGACAACTAACAGACCGTTCGGCTTTACGCGTGACACAGAGACATAGAAGCTTACGAGGTACAAGTACCTGATACACGACCTCACAAGCGTACAAGCGTTGCAGACGAATGTGGGGGTTGATCAAAAGGTCCCTTTCCTGGGATGACCTTTGGTTGGAAAACCACCAAGGAGCTGGTGTGTCCCACGTGGGGTGCAAGTGACCCATGCTCAAAACTGGGGCCCGAAAAGGAGCTAGGTCCCCAGCTAGGTGCCCCTTCTCACCCTTTTTTTGGGGAGGGTTTCCCGACCACAATAAAATAGACCGAAAAGAAGGTTGGTACCAACTTATTCTAACCTCTCTACGGACCGAAATGGAAGATTGATCACCGATGTGGGTATGGGTCATGAAACCATCAGGAATTGGACCGCAGGTTTTAGTCTTTCCATTTACCAGGGTTCCCTTCTGGGTACCTATTCTTGACCCATCTTTAAGGGGTCGTGACGCAAAAAGATGATGTGTCCCATGGGAAAAGTGACCCATAGTCAAACCTGGGGGCCCGAAATGGAAGATCGATCACATCCCATGTGGCAGGCGATGAGGATCTCTTCCCGCTCGTTTGCTGCGGAGACGCGTTTTGTTTTTTGTTGGTTCTTTTCAAAGCTGGGCGTGGCGGCTTGTCCGGCGCAGAGGAGTCGAGCCAATGTCCGAAACTTTCTTTTGGCAGGGCTGTTCAAGAAAAGACGCGCCAAGTCCTTTCTCCCTCAAATTGCCTTGGGCTTCTGAGAAAGTGAAACAATAATTCCACTTGAAGGGGCAACAGCTTGGGTTGAGGTTGCTTTTGTTGGAGGGACACTCCCGACAAAAAAGGAAAAACTTCAGAAGGGTTCCCTTTGAGTTCCTTTACACCAAGCCCCGAAAAGAGGGGAAATGGGAATCTGGGTCTTACCTCTAAACCCAACCAAACAACCAATTGGGGGCGAACTGAACTTTTGGATTTAGTAGCAAACAGCAAGTTTGGTCTCTTGCTTGGTGAATTTATTCAGGAGCTGAGGCTTAGTGAATGATTCTTAGCCAAGGACGTACCCTTGTTCATCCACTTGTAAAAATGGTTACCACCTGCTTAACAAGAGCTGGAATAGATTAGTGACCCTTCAATTCAGTCCCAAAAACATACATATGACCCCTTTTTGACCCTTGCAACAAATGATTTGTCTCACCAGTTTCCTGATTTGACAGCAGTACTTCAAACAGTTTGGGCAGCTCATTGTGGTCCAAAAACGTCTGAATGTCGTGCAATCCACTCCTCACTCCCTGAGTTCCTGGACTTTAAACTTTTTGGGAAGACCATGTTAGGAGTAAACAAACAGCTTGGACTGTTTGTTTTGCCAATCTATTGAGGAAGTGAGACTCAGGAAGCGAGTGGTTCCATTTTGGCCCTCAAAGTAAAAGGGCCCCCCCGAGCCTGAAAGCGCTTGAAGCCCGGACATGGATCGAGTCACACTGAGCATCAAGTCACAAAACTGTCATGGCCGTGCCGTGTTCGCGGCAAGCGGTACCAGACTGTCTCAGCACGGGATTCACTAGATCATGTCCTTGTCCAGGCGGAAGAAAGCATCACCCTCTTTGCAACTTTTAGTTGATGTTCCCTTTGGTGTGATGTTTAAGGAACAGCAGCATAGTATACATATATAAAAAGATTTGCCTTTATGGTGGTGCGACAAACCATCTTTCTTGTGGGCTAATTTGAAGTGAGTTTGTGGGTGACAATTTCTTGGCGGTGACATTTTCAGGATATGCGGGACGAAGCGCACATTTTGTCGACAATATCCGATTGCCTAGTGATTTCCGGTGCAAGCCCTTCACATCCCTTCCCTATTGTTGGCGTGCGGGTTTTTGGCTCTAATTGGTTCTGTTGAGTCTCAGCAAAACTCAAAGCACGAGGCATGAGGCTGTCAGGGTTGATAGGGAGAGTTTACGTGGAAGGCGCAACAGAGCTGCTGACGGCTGTTTCTGGCCAAGTCTGCCTACTCCGCGGGGAAACATCCGCATTGCCATAGGTTGGATCTTTTTTGGGCACCTGAAGTCTCCATGACCCGTTCAACATGAGTCAATGACCCCATTACTTTGGCTATTGACCCCATTTTTCAAGGACACGTATGTGTGTGTGTGTGTTTTCCCACGAATCAACTAACAGGTAGACCGTTTTGGCAGGACGTCTGGTGCCGAAGCCTTCGCTTTATGACCGCGGTTTCGAGTGCTGCGAGCCTTCGGGGCTTGAGATTGTTCAGCTCACTCCTGGTGGCCTGCAGCTCCCTGGACTCTTTCTCAACTTCTCACTTCCTGAGTTCATGAACTTTAAACTTTTTGGGAAGACTCTTGTAGTGGTAAATATAAAGTTTGGACTTTTTTGGGGCCATCCACTCAGCCAGTGAGACTTTTCGGGTTTGGACCAGTTTAGTCCTAAATAATTGCGGTTTGGGAGCTTTGTCTGGCCAGTCCAGGAAGCGAGGAGCAGGGTTTCTGAGCCATGTCCCAAACAAAGTGTACTTCCACAAGTGGCCATCGCTTCAATGGAAGCCACCACTCCATCTTCCATGTGTTTAAGATGAAAATATTTTTCCACTGGTTTCAAAGGGAATCTATCACCACTGGACACATTTGTTTTTTCCAGGGGACGAATCAGCAAATGGAGGCAAACAAAAACAAAATCAACCTTGCTTCAGGGGGAACACGAGTGACCCTGAAGTGGTCGGAGCCCGCCGCTTTGGAGGTTTCGCCGGGAAGTTCCATTCATTTTACCCACAAGAACCGAAGTCCACTACTAGCCAGCCACCAATTGAGGGGTCAGATCACTGGTCCAAAGCCGTCTTTTTAAGGCAGTGAAGAGAGAAGAGGAGAGACCTTGCTTTGTCACCTTCTGTTCTTTCTCTTTTCATCTATTTTTAGTCAATCCACTTTTGGTGCCTGGAATTTGTGGGTCCTTTGGGTAACTGGGTGAGGGTGGCCACCATTTCCTTTTCAGAGCCTCCGAAAGTGGCGATCGTTTCAACATCTTTGCACGCCCATGTTTTTCTTTCCAGAGCTCAAATGAGCCATTTGCTCAAAACCCGGGTAGATGAAGCTTAGTAAGGAACGATCCCAACCATCAACAGCTGCGGAATTCCGCCTTCTTGATTCTTGAAGCATGGTTCTGGGTCGACCATTTTAGTACCGGGTTTCGACTATGACTCTGGGGATGGACCTGAAAAACCGGTCCGAGTGTTGGCCACTTGTCCTTACGGCTAGACAAGAATACGGAATTAGTGCTGGAACATAAATTTGCTGTGTCTATGCTCAACAGGGTCCCTGAAAGGATATATTTGGGCCTGTTTTAAAGTCTCTTTAACAAGCCGATTAAAGGGTTCTTTGATCCTCTCGAAAAGCAGGTGGTTCTATCCTTTAAGGAGCCTGATTAGCCTCGGTAGAAGTTCGCAAAGTGCTCGCAGACCGTCCGCGGCGTTCGCTCCTTTCAGCTGGTTTGCCAAGAGCTTTTCGCGCGGAGCGAGATCGGGCGAGAGATGGTGTCTTGAGGGTTTTGGACCTGTTCCATGGATGATGCCCCATGTCTCTTCAGACAATACAAATGTGAAGTACCCGGAACGGGCCGATTCCTTTTTTCTACCAACAAGCACCCCTTTTGGTGGGTCCTGGCAGAGAATAGGGGCCCAGGCATGAGACAGGCCCGCCCCACCCAGATCCACCTAGTTCTATGAGTTGCGGAGGTCACCAAGTGGGGTTCCCCACCCTTTAAGAACCAAATGATTAAGCGAGGGGTTACCAACCTTTTGTGGGCGCAACACCTGGGATCGATCCACCGGGCCAGGTGCGACAGATACTGCTTTTCCCTTTGTTTTGTTTTTTTTCCCAGGCTTTGAGAGGTGTATGACACTCACAAGCTCACAATTTGAACCTTACTTGGTGGTTCCCAGCCATCCGGTCCCTTAGCGTTTTGGCTTTTTTGGGGGAAGTAGTGGTAGTTTCCACACCCAAAGCTGGACTTTTAGCAGCCCAGGTGAGTGTCTGCCCGAGAGTAAGCCTTGGCGAATTAGGCGATTTCCGCCAGAAGTGAAGGATCCTCTCTAAGTGGGACCCCCCAGTAAACCCCCGAGCTGTCGCTGTTGGGGAAAAAAACAACATTTGAGGGGTGACCAAGAATCCGATTCGGCCGTGTCCTATTTCTGGGGTACCCTTTTGAGTTTGGTTTAAAGGGACACTAGGAGGAAACTAAGCAGTTGCGCACTGCAATTTAAGACACACACACACACATGGGGGGGCTGGGGGGGGAGGGAGGGAAGAAGGGAGCCCAAATAAGCCTTTATTAAGCCCTTAATACGGCTTTATTTAGGGCTTGTCTGGGCTCCACCTTCTATCCCTCCTCAGGCCCCATGAGACACTCCCATGTTTCGCCATGCATCCGCGAAAAGATCGCACCACGTGCTCCATCGGCAACAGCTGCAAGGGTCGCATCTTGTTTTTCCCCCGTGCCAAAGGCCAGAGTCAGAACCCTCCAACTCCGGTCTCCGCGATTTTGCATCAGGTCAAAAACGGATACCCTCTCTCCCAGTAAAATGGCACCTGACAGGGGGTCCCTCCAAGAGGAAACTGATCTTCCAGATACCCTCCCTCAGGTGCCATGTTAGTGGGAGAGAGGGTAATATAGATATGTTTTTTTTGAGGGTTAGGGTTGAAACCACAGGGAAACCACAGAAAAAAGAACATTTTTTTTTGGGGGGGGGGCAATATTTTGTGGCACCCCCACACGAAACAGCATCTGACTAAGTTCCTTGGGTGAACTTTTAGCCAAGCCAGGATCTCATAGTCCCAGGTATCTGGACTTGCGTAGTCGTAGCATGAGCAGTTCGGGGGCTTGTTTCGGTCAAAGGGACATGTGCTTTTGGTTGTACATCTCATTGTTCGTATACTGATTCATTGCCTAGAAGAAACCTGTTCTTTTTCCCGAACCAACCAAAAACTTAACTTGTTTTGCAGGTCTGCATCTGTGTCATCAGGTCGTTCAACGCTTTGGCTTCTCATTGCCGGAATAACATTTACCTTTTTGCTGTTCTGCCCTCTTGGGTGTCCTTCTTTTTCCCTGAACTTTTTGCAGGTCTAGCCTCCCCCCTAGCTCCGGGAGGGTACCTGGAAGATTTTTTTGTTTCTCTCGGGGCCAGCTGGCCGAGTTCTGACGAGCCCTGTGGCGCAGGAGCAACATGACCGCATGCGGCGAGAGAGATGAAGCCGCGTCCAATTTGTGCCCACAACCCATGCAGAAACTCGCTCGGCAAGATATGTGTAAAATGTGCAAGCAAGACCTTCGGACCCAGAAGGGAAACGCAAAGGTTGCATTGAGTGCAAGAAGGCGATCCTTGATGTGAATTTCGCTGGTTTTCGGGAATTCCGCTTGTGAGACCAAAGGATGCCCTCGCCGTGACAAAATAGTCAGAGGGTGGGAATCCCACTTTGGTGAAGCAGCAGCGCTATGTTAGGTTTAGTCAAGATATTTAGTAGTCTCGCAAATTGTCCTGCACACATCAGGGGGCTCGCTAATTTTCCCCTGCCAATCTGTGGTAGCCACGTATTTTGACGGTGGTGCATGTAGCTTTCTGATATCTTTTTTTTTGAGTAGCAAAGGGCCTTTTTGCTGGGGCCCCCTCTTTCTTTTCCAGCGCTGGCCTTGGATTCGGTGGG